CATATGCTAATAAAAAAGGGCATTTCTGAACCTCACTGCATTCCTGGAAAAGTACCTCACAAATAGCTGGTCCAGAGAAACAAAGCAGGCTGCAATACTCTTTCCATTACAGAGGTACACAAAAGACAACTGTAGAATATGCAGACCAACACAGCTCAAAGGCAGCATGAGTCTTTGTTTAAACAAATGGAGAGACCCTGCTGGAAATGAAGGCAATGAAAAGCATTATGTTAGGATTTAGCTCCATGGTAGAGGTGCCAGTGCAGGAAGTGGTCCTGGCACCCAAGTTAGGTCTCCAGTAAGAGCTCTTCAAAAGGCACATCCTTCAGGCTGCTCCGAGATGAAGTTTTGAGGAAGATTTTTCCCGAGGGTGCAAGGACTGGGCCCGCCTTTCCTACACTTCACAGCCAGTGGCTTACCTTGTTCTGAAACACAGGATCACAGCAGCTCCATTTCCAAGAAAGAAGATGGCTACAGTTGACAGCAATGAAGTAAGACTGGATTCCCAGTGGTCACAAACATGCCTGGTATTAAGTCTGCGGCACATCCAAAGCACATGACAATAGGGAAATGGAAGAAACATGTCACTGCGCCCATGAGTGAGCTCACATACAAGACAGGAACTTAAGTACCATTTAAAACAGATGAATTCTCAGGAAAGACTGATGCTAATAAGTCTCCCAACTGCAGCCATATTATGAAAGCCACTCCAGCCTAGCAATGAAGAAACACTAGATGCATAGTGGTCAGACTTTTTTTTTTCCCCTTTTTTATTTAAAATATCATTATAACCAATTGACATACTAAATAACAATGTATACATTCCAGTGGTGCACACATAATGACCTATGGCATGAATGAGTAAAAAAACCACAATGTTCTCAGTAATGCCCCACCAACAGCTTATTTGGAGGGAATAAAGGAAAAGCAGGAGAAGATATCAAATGTGGGAAGAAAAAAAAAAAGTACAGTTTTCCTCAGCATTTTTAATGGTGTATCTTCCCCTTCATATTTCTTGGGACAAAATAAAATTAAGAATATACTTCAAAAGGGGCAGAAGGAATGATCACAATAATTAGGGTTTTTTTCTCAACTTTAGTAATAAAAGTTAAAGAACTCTCAAAAATAGACTAGATATTGGGCCTACAAAAGTAATTCATCTGTATGCAAAGCTTACCAAGAATTAGTCCTCTTGTAAAATGTAAAGGATGAGCTGACATTACTAGTAAGCTATTTTTACCTACAAAACCAGACTACAATAATAAAATCACCAATTTACAGCTAACACAATATTCTAGATATACATTACTGTACACAAGCTATATATTACACATGACCAACCTATGTGAAATCTATAAGAAACATACTTACTGATATTGTCTCAACATTGGCCAGTAGGTTTACTTTTCTAAAGGAAGTGTATTTTTCTATTCACATTCAGTGTAGTTCCAATAGCATGGGTTAGCTTTGCTTACTTAAGAAACATAGAAAGTTTGTGTGAGGTAGTTCAAGAAAACCTAGCTTAAATTTTTAACTGCAGAAGTAGAAACACAATGATGTGATCTGATTCATGACACGTTTCTGTAATGCAGAGATATGTAAAGAGGAGAAGGGAGTGAAAGAGTTCACTTAAAATACCACTCTTATCCAGTGCCCTTAACTAAGACTAAATTAAATGAAAATTTGGGTAGGCAGCAGGGTCTTATCACATTTCTTCATTAAAACCCTCATTCTAATCCTAAAAAAATGCAGACAATTCTGCCTCAGCTCCAGTCCTCAACCTAAGAATCTGCCTAAGCTCCAGTCCTCAATGTAAGAATCAAAACATTGACAGAAAAATAAATTGTAACAAACAGCATGGACAAGCTGCTGTCAACAGCAAATAAAAGCATATCTAGAAACAGTAATTCACTTCCTTCAGCAACTGGAAACAGTAAGACCAAGTGTAAGGTGAACCACCTTCTCTTGCCCTTCCCCTCTAATCTTAATTGGGAAACAGTTAATGTCACACACTTTGGATCCCTGGCTAGATAGGAACCATCCTCCTGTACAAGCTTTTAGATCATGTTCCTTTACGCAGTGTTCAGATGAATGCCATATACTCTAAAGCAGGGCATTATACTCATGCAAAAGCCTGTCAAGGTGCTTAATTCTTGCTCTCTAACCAAACAGCCTGTGTTCAGAGAAGCAATTCTCCGTAAAAACAACCCATGTCAGTAACACCATGCTCACTCAGACACAGAGGCAGCAGAGGGTGCCAGTGCCACAACTGCCTGGAATAGAGCTCACCCCATCTGAGTTACTAGCTGGGCCTAAATCACACCACCTCCTTGAACTCACACCTGCAGGTTGGCAGAGGGTGACTTGCAGATAACAATGGATGCTAATACTATCTTTGTATCTAGCTGAATTCCTATCCAGAATGGTACTACTGCATATAGCGCAGTCAGCTTCTTCAAAACTAAAAATGCAAGCTGCGCAGTACCCACACAAGGAAAAGTGCCACATCTGCTCAGCTTAGCAGGCTGAATACAGCAGAGGTGACCTGGGTGGTCAAGTTGGCTTTGAGGCTGTTCAGCTCACAGGTACAGCTCTAGCAGTCCAGCTTCTCACACACATGAGCACACTTACTTCTAATAAAAAGAGAGGAGCTATTTTATCCTTGATGCCTGCCACAGTTCTAACCAGAGAATGCGGAAATTAATCGAGTCACTGTTGTCCAACTTCTAACCTCACCTGACATAAGAAATCAGACAGCTCACTGTAATTCCAGCCCTACCAATTCCCAGTGAATTGGAACAGCCCTAGAAGAGCAAAGTTGCACCCACTTTAAGTGAAGCCTGCTGTCATGAGAATATTTTGGAATTATAGACTAAAATAAAGCTTAATAATACTTTAAGAATAAAATTGTACAGTGTATTAGATAGTATACAATCCAACATCATAACTAGACAAAGGCAGCTGAACTCCAGCTGCCCATTTGTTTGCTATCAGTGGCAGTGTGCAACTATTTCTGAAATAATTTTATATTTCAATAAATATAAAGGGAAGTTAAAACTAGCATGTTGTTGTGATAATTTGGTTACTGAATCTGAATTTACCATCACTTTGATCTGCCTAAAATTCAGGCAACAGAGTGGAAAAGAAAAGCAACACTGCTCTGCAGATGGTGCCAAAAGTGAACTATACATTTCCACAGGCAAAGCTCTGACCTTACTGAAATAATCCCTTTAAGCATAGTTCACTCAAACTGCAATGGGTTGCTGTGGGCAAACCCACCCATTCATAAGCCCAAAACATTCTATGATTAACCCTACCTTGAAAGAAGAAAAACTCAATTCTTCTTAAGAGCTCATGAACTCAGTGAAGTTTTAAAACACAGCACACTGTGGTAAAACCCAGGAACTTAATTTTTAAAGCTATTTTTCTTTGGGACACTGGAAAGGAATAGCAAAAATTATTAACTATTTCAAAGTTTCGAAATACTTCAATCACCGCTGCAATCTGGAGGGGTCCAAAATAAATTTACATAGCAGTTGTATTTACCAAATTCTGTTCTTAACAGCATTTACAGGCATCAGAAGTTGATTTTGTCAGTCTTGACTTCATTATGTTGGGCTGACGAGAATATTATCTGACCCTATGTAACAATGGAGTACTGTTGTATGACCAAAATTTTGGCTTAATTCACAGCTTAAACTTCGATTAAAAAAACCTCTACAAAATAGACTGTTCTGTTGGTCTCTGTTGAACTTGAGCAGATTTTCTATGTTTCAGTGCTAGATGAATCCAAACATGTCCTGCCTCTTCTGAGCTAATATACAGTTTGGCAGGATCCTTTAAAAATAATTGCCTTAAAAAATATGGTTTAGAAAGGCAATATTGAAGTATCGGATACAAGTGAGGAAAGCAAAATTACATGCACACAGCACTTACCAGTAGTCTAGCCAGGCCAGGAAAACAGAATTTAAGCCATCTTTGAGACATTACCATTCCTTGTAACCCTGCATGTTTTCTAAGATGACATATTAGATATTGGAAGCATTACTATCACTCCTATTTCTTCTGAAACTTACTGCAAAGATGATTTTTCCTCTTTCAATTACAACTTCAAAAACATACCGATTTAACCCAACAAGCAGAAGGAACCACACTGAAGAACATCTGTCATTCCTGGATGACCTCTGTAGCCAGTTACACTATTTGCTTATGCTCTGCTCCTGGCAAGACTTCGGTATTCTTTTATGCTCACTTTTGTGAGCATTACTGATTTAAATTCTTCTTCACATTCTAATTCACTACACAAAATATGCATCTACACAAGGCAATCAATTGTACAGCCTAGCTTCACTAAAAAAAAAATCTGCATTTTCCAAAGGAATAAATTCTGAACGATTGTTAAACTCATACATAAACTTAAGTCAGTTACACATAAATCATTCTGCAAATATAAAATGTAAACAGTTAAAATACTTCTGTGAAGAGCAGCACCATTTTACATGACTATTTAGTAACTGTTTATACATTTCAATATATCTTTTGTTTAAAAAGTGTATTGAAACCTGGAGCATCAGTGCTGTAAACTACTGAATATTTATGACTTAAAATGAACCATTATTAAGATTTCTGCTACACTGGTCTCATGGTGAAATGAAGAAGATAGATATTAATTTATACAGCACTACTTCTCCCTCCTTTGGATGGCATATATTGCTCACTTAATGCATTAGCTACAGAAATCCTGAGGTTCTCCTATGGTTTTTAGCAATCAGTTACTTTTGGTGGAGAAAGAACAGCTGACATTTTGCCCCACTGCATTTGTGTCATTCCCTCTTTTACCCAAAAAGCACTTGCCTTCATAGACAAAACTAGCAAGAAATAAAACTCCCAGGAATCACATATTACATGAAAGTATAGCCACAGCATATACGTTTTCTCTCTTGGCAGTCTAGACATCCTGGATACACTTCATTTTGTGTGTACAAAAACAGGCTACAAGCTAGAAGTAAACAGTTTATTGGCATTGCAATGTATTATTCATGACGTATCCTTGTGTTTTATGGCAATCACAAGATTTGGCATGCCACAACTCTGCAGAAAATATCACATTACTTTGTTAAGCTAGATATTTCTGCAGCTTTGAAGATATGCTTTGCTTCCTTAAGTTCATAAAACTGTTCAGATGCGATTATTCTGCCAAGGATTGTATACTGTTTCTCTAAAAAAAATTCACTAATTGTTGCTTTTGCTGAAGTATTACAGGCAAGTGGCCAAAATAAAAGAGGATTTTGTTCACTGCCAGCACCAGAGTAGTATGCCCAAACTACAGCTGGCTGCACTGAATTCCCTCCCCCTTCACCTGGACATGAACATATGACCAAGCATAAAACTTTGAAGGATATCATGAACAAAACATCTGGAATAAATTCTAATTAAAAAATTGAAAACCTATAAAATCTTAAATAATTCATTATATGGTAATGACAACAACATTAATATGTGCTTTGATAAAACAAATCTTACAAATTCAGTAAAAAAACATCAGCAGCATAATAATAAAGCAAATATGCAGATTTTAAAACCACAATAAAAATTATCAGGTTTAATATTTTACAGTTAATTACAGCAAAAAAGTGGCTGCTTTTAACACAACTTACAGTTTAAAATTACAGCACTTTATGATGAATTCTACGATTATTTTTGAAAAAACACTCAAAAATACCACCAAATTTTAAAGGTGCCCTATTAATGACTAAAAGGACCCCCCTCCCACCCCCCAAAAGACCAAGTAGTCATCTACAGCAACCCAGAGGTCCAGCTGAGGTTTCTAGACTGCTGTCTGTATCAGAGGCCAATGTTGGATCTGTTGACATTGAAGACACATCATTGACAGATGACGATGAAGATGGATGTTGAGAGCCATTGATCATTGCTGCACCTGTGCTATGAGAAACAAAACAGCAAATTAGTTGCAGATACAGTTGCATGGTTCAGTACTTGCATTAGTCTGTTTCTTCCTAATAGTTATGACTTTCCCCTGTTTCGGCAAGTTTGAAGAATTGTTTCAATCTATTGTCAAAGTAAATAAAACCCACAAGTCTTTAATACAGGCCTTAATGAATGGTATGTCATGAACCACAGAACTCACATGGCACGATACCTGTCAAATCACAGTAAATGCTGATGGCTGAAGGTTAAAAATCACAGATAGTCCTGCATAAATCACAGAAAGGCCATACTGCATAAAGGCAGAAATGAGATGCCCTACAAAATGTTGAGATGCAAAGCTAGAATATATCTGCATATTTTATTAAAGAAAGAAGGGGCCTGTTTTTTTTCCCCATCAGATCCTCCCCTTCAGGCTGGGTAATAGCTGGTGTCCAGCCAGACTGCATACATTCAATCTCAGATACACAGTCTGGACTTCAGTGAACTCTGAGCGCACTCCACTACAGCTGTCCAACTTTTACCATCATTTTTCAGCAGTGCATGAGTCCTATCAATGGCCAGTTAAAGGGCACATTTTGCTCCAAAATTCAGCAACAGTTTCTGAAAGTGCTCTGTAATTTTCCCACCTAGAAATCACATCTACTGCTACGTCTACTCAGTAGATGAAAATAGTGGTTATATCTTTATCTGAAAACACACTAGTTACACATTACACATCAAACCAGCTTATGGCAATAGAGCACTAACACCTACCAAGATGTTTCTTGAGGACTGAAGTGAATGAAGCATCAGTTACACAGGGACAATAATAGAGGAATTTAACAGATTAACAAAAAGAGGTGTCAACCCCATAGATTTAATTCAAATATGCAGTATCTCAAAAAGAATTTAAGGGATTACTGGTAATTTAAGAGCCATATGTTTGAGTTCAGTTACTCCCAAATATCTTGAACAGCTTTACTCCCTCCTGACCTACACCTCAGTGTAGCTTTGTACTATTCTTTTATTGTAACCAACCTAAAGGGGCTGGTTGTCCACGTATAACCCCATTCTTGGTTCTCTCCTCCAGGTCCATGACTTCCTTGTATATCAACTCTGAAAGTGCAGAGAAACGAAGGCAAAAAATGAATTTGCAAATCCAAGACTGGATTGATAATACATCTCCCATTAAAATGTACATGAATTTCATAGATTCAGTACTGTTCGGAATTAGGTTTGAACAACAGGCTGTAGTCTACGTAACAACCGGCAAGTAATATAAAAATGTATAGTTATTTTAAATCGGAGCTACAGCGGTCTGCCATTCTCGAGAACACACTGATACTGTAAAGACTCTTTTGTCCGGGCTACTTCAGGACCTGAGGATAAACGGAGTCTTAATCACTCAGTTTTTATCAATGGATTCTTTGGTACAGATAAACTCATCAGCAGGCTTCAAAGAAATAGGTAGAAACAAGCCCATACAACTCTGCCATCCTCCTGACATATATTTGCCACTAAAGTTCTTCAGCAACAACATCTAAAGGTCCAGATCACCACAAAATGCAATACAATACTGGCACATAACTAGCCACTCCAAATGAAAGCAACTTTATTTTCCAGCTACAGAAAATTCCTCATCCTTAAATAGTTTGGAAGTGCTTCTAACACATATCAATCATACACCCTGTGTACTGGCCAGAAGGTTTCTAGGCTAATGGCAGCTTATTACCCAGAAAATACTTCAGCTGTGAATCTACAGAAGTAACAATAGAAAAAAGGGATTAAACATGTTAAATGCAACTCATAACAGCTGACAGTCCGAATACTACTTCTAATCTGTCACTGCCAAACTAATGCAATGTACAAACAGTTTAGAAGAAAAAAGCATTTAAGAATTACAATTTCAAGGGCTGTGGGAGTCTCAAAAGTAAACTCCATACTGCTTGAAATAACTTCAGCACATCTGCCTCAAAAGGGAGATGACATTGCCTGGAAGGAGGAATTTCCACAGTTTTCCTTATCTCTGCCTTTATGATTAAAAGTTAGTTTCTAATAGAAAGCTACTTAAAAGTGTGGTAGTAGTGCCCATTACAGCCAACACAATGCAATGTCATAAATGATTCACAAAACATTTGCCTTGTCTTTTTTCCCTCGGGGCATAAAAAGGTTATAGAGGTCTGATATCCCTTTCTGGACATTTTCAGTACGAAGTATTAGAACACTCAGTTGCACTAAATTCTTGCTTAAGTGCGGCATTTATAGCCTGCAGTCTGGATCTGCATTTTTTTAGAACTAAAACCTCTGCAATTACACCACCCTTTTAGAAGCGCTTTCAAAATGAAGCATAAGCTTTCCAAGTAACAAATATGTTCCCCTTATACTTTATCATTTTACAACTCATATGACTAGGAAATATAGATATTAAACCAGTACTGAACACTAAAGACCATGCTCTTGGGGCTACGAGACTTATGTCATACTACTACCCGTTCCACACCTCAAACTCAGGTACTTCCTCAGGATCCTGTAGCTGATAACCATCAACTTCTCCACACCAGCTGTAACTTCAACTACCTTGCCTATCACTAACACTCCTTATAGCTTCTTCTTTCAAATCCTCTGCTTGATTTAAAAGGAGTGTAGTTACTGCTGGTATGCTCTTCACTTGAAGACTAGTGCTTGTACTTCAGGCTTATATTACTCAAGTTCTTGCACCTTTTTCAGTTGTAGCAGCTGGTCCAGAAGAGTTACCCTCCCTAGAAACACTGCCTTTGTGATTTGCAAAACGTGACTGAAATGCACAGGACTTAAGCTCACTACAAAGGCTTAGCACCTTTGCAGGAAAATTTTTAGCGTCCCAACCATCAAGAGCTTGTGAAGCACTGATCCAAGCTTGCTAATCCAAGCAGTTTAAGTAAATATTATTGGATTGCTCAGAAGAACCTTAACAACAGTAATCACTGGGACCTAGCCTACTCCCAAAAGCCTTATTATACCTAAAATGTCTTTCTTACCTTTCCATTCTTCTATCGTGTGCTCCCTCTCATCTAACTGTTTATCTGGTATCTTTGGCGGAGGCTGAAAAACAAAACTAACTCAGGTTAAAGCAATTAAAATGGATATAAACCAGAACAACTGAAAAATAAAACTGGTACTCAGAATATGCACCTGATCAAAAAAATACTGTATTTACATGGTCACGTATTCTCCTGTATTTGGACTTGGCCTATTTTCTAGGCGCTGCTACATGTTTTAAAGTTCTTCTGATTAACAGATTTGCTTACATTATTGTAATAATTAAAACAGAAACTGAACAGTCTGGTCAGAGTTCCTAAATGCAGCCACCTCCAGCCCAAGCAACCCTTTTTATCTATTTACTGCTAATTATTAACTTTTCCCTCTATTATAGATCAGCAGAAATCTAACTTCACCATTTACATCAAGCATCCTTTTCTATTCTTCGTGGGTCAACCACATTCACCAACCACCTTTTTTAAAAAAGGATACTTTTTTCACAAGCTGAAATTTTCCTGAAATGAATTTTAAGAAAAAATTTCAATTAGTCCCTTTGCTCATCAGTGTTCATGACTGAAAGCTCAAAATCTCACACTCTGATTTTGCTTAAGCACAGTTTATGAGTACTATCAATTGCTACAACTAATGAAAATATTTCTCACCCAGGAGTAAATACCTCAGAAACCTACCAAGGACAATCAAGTCAAATAACTGAAGCTTGATAAATTAGAACCCTAAACGAAAGATTTCGTATGCACTGCAACATGCCCAGATTATATGCAATTGTACATGAACATACACACATACAGGTACTTCAGTTTGCACCCATTCTTAATACTATTTCTAATAAACAAGTCTATCCATGTCAGTAAAAATGATTATGGCTCATTTAAGCTTCTAGTGAAATGTGTAGATCAATCAATAATCTTTCAAGCAGTTATATCAAGCATCACAAGTTTGCTTTAGTCCAGTACCTTCCTAATCAGAGACCTAAAACAAGAACTTACAGCTTCTGCTTCTGAGGGATCATACCAAACATTGATGTATGGGTGCTGCAGGGCTTCATCCACCGAGATTCTTTTAGAAGCATCTATAACCAGCATTTTTGATAACAGATCCCTTGCTTGACTTGCTGCAAAAGTGAAATTTTCTATTTAGACCAGTGCCACACACAGTGCAACTGAACAGTATTTCAAAGCTCCTAAGGAGAGGAGACCTAGAGTAAACAAATTCCAGTTTAATATCTATGCAACCCTCAGGGAATTTGGGGTTTAGGAATGTGGTCCATTTGATGGAAGAAAAAAAAATTTGAAGAGAATTAACACAGGTGGGAAAGGGGTTGGACATGTTTCACTATGCATTTTCAGCATAAAGCACCCCTTAGTAGCATAAGCTACTTATAGTATATAAGTATATAATGTAAGCAGCATAAGCACCCCTTAGACATCCTTAAGTAAAATAGAACTCAGCTTGCAGCATAGCCTTGTCTGGAATAGCACTGGGCAAACACCTATTACCCCTCTCAGAGTTTATGGAGAAAAAACTGTCATGTACTGTTACTCACAGATAATATGGTGAGTCTGTGACTCCACTGAGTAGATGACTTTTCAAACCAATGAGCTATTTCAGTAACTACAGTATATGTATTATGAACATAAAACCTTTATTCTCCTCCCTAGAGAAAGAAGATCTGCTCTGCCTACACAACTTCCAAGCCACCCTCCTCCCACTCTTCTCTAAATCATGTTGGCATCTGTCATTGAGAGGAATGTATATATTTACTTTTCTTTATAAAGTTATCTCCAGAATAGGAGCTGTTTTAGAAATGAGAAAGTGGAGGTAAGCATACACCAGCACTCTCATCCACTCCCATTATACTGTAGTATTTAAATCCTTAGACAGACAATGTTACAGTGAATAAAACAAAGATATGCTACTGTTCAATACATCACAGTTGTAAAACTTACACAGAAGACAGAGCTTACCTTTAAGCTTATTATGTTCAGAGTCAGCTGGGAAAAGGACATCTGGAAAGAGTTTTTCAAAACTATATCCAGCATATTTAGGTCTATTCTCCACGTAAGTTCGGACTGTAGGCTGTAATTTCTTCATAAATTCGGGGCATGGTGTTCCTAGCTGCTCTATAACTTTATTCCATTGATCAATATCTAAGGTTATACAGCTAAGAAAAACACAGTGTCTAATTTCTGGCTAGAAAGTTATGTTAAAACCACATGAAATAACCAACAGAGACAAAACACAGAAAATTATAATAAGATATCAAGTTCATCATCATTAATTAGGACTATCTTAGAGAAAACTGTGAAACAATGAAAGACTATGATAACGTAGTCAAGGCAACATGTATTTTACTCAAAATTGTAATTAACTAGCAAAGGATATACCTCTGAGAAACAGAAAATTAAAAGGCTCACAAAACATTATTAAACAAATTTAAATAAAGGCATTGTTTAGGTTCTGGAGAAGACCTCACCTCCAAATCTGAACACATATTCACAGTACTCCAGCTACTCGTAAGAATTACCCCTGCAGATGCTTTGTCCTTCTTTCCCATCTTGAATACCTCAGCCCAGCTGGGCTTTCCCAAGTTGGTGATCTGTCACCAACAACATGCAACACTGAGCACCAGTGGGCACACAGAGGATGGAATCTTGGCCCCCACATATCAATGACAATTTTGGCAGAGACTCAAATGCAGAAAGTTAAAGAGTTTCAAGGATGCATACGGAACGTCTTAACTGAGAAGTTTACACAAGGTACAGTGGAGATTGACTTGTTCTCAACATAAGAATTTAAAACATGTTACTGAATAAGAAAATATCTGGCTCAGGAATTCCTACTTGCAGATGGTTAGATAGTGGGAGAGAGCTCAGGTAAAAATTTATATGCACTTATTCATATATTCTCCCCAACTTTTTCTCTTTGGCTACCACCATAAACTGCATACTGGCCTACATAAACCTTGAGTCAGATGTAGCAGGCCTCCTCTTACGTTCTTAAAACTTAACAGCAGACCTTTACATAGAGATTTTCAATCTCTACAATGCTTTAGTACAGGCCTTGGGGAGGAAAAAAAAAAAAGTATTTAAACTGCATGGCACTGAGCTTAAATTGAAAAGCCATGCTAGCAAACCAGATGCATAAAGCTAAGCATGGTGCAGCTCATGCAATGACAGAGCTGTGTGAAAGGAAGAATGCCACGGATCTCTTCACCGTGCCTCAAAATTTTCACCCAATCTTGATCCCAAATGGGACTGTATCAGTTATTAAACAACCTGCAGCAAAAGCAGGAAAGATTTCTGATGTATAGCCACCAGTAAAACAAGATGCCAAATTCCAATTAGATTCACTAATTTTATCAATGATCCAGACGTTTCAGCTCTATTCACTTGGAGCAGACCCTTTGTCTGAGGTATTGTTCACAGGACACACAGATACCACAAAGCCATTCATGGAACAGAGAGACAGAAGTGCCAGATATTTCTGAAAGCCGTTTGCAGGATCATTTCAGCATACAAAACTCCAAAACTCCAGAGTGTAACTAATGAAGCAGGTTAGGAATTTTTGGTAAACATTTCCTATGGAATGTAAAGAGTTAACAACTGCTAACATGCTTAGGTAGTAAACAAGATTAGTAAGTTATTACATATAAATGATCTCCAAAGCAAAAAGCAATGCATGTGAACCAGTAAAATAGCACCTAAACAAAACAAACAAACAAAAAAATCCGTCTTAAATGTGACAACACCCAAAAGCAATGGACATACACTGTGTTAAATTGGGAAAAGAAAAAAAGAGGAAAACAAATTAAAAAGGAGGAAGGAAAAATAAGCCTGTTTGCCCAAGTGGTATTTTGTTCATCTTACTTAGTATTAATTTCTAAAGACAGTCATACACATTAATGCTACGTTGTGGGTTTGCTTTAAATGGTACAACTGTAGAAATTTTTGCAGCTTCCTGGAGGCAAAATAATGAACTTGCAAATTGTATTTTAAAAAGGCAGTTTAAAACCAGAATTTTACAAATTAGAACCACCTTAATCTGGAACTATATTGCTGCAGTATCTTTTGACCCTTTACAACTACATCCTAGGCCAAAGGTAAGGATACGATCTGTACCAGGAAATAAAACACCACCTTTGATCATTTCTCCCATGATGCACCCAACTGACCAAATGTCAACTGAAAACAAAATGCAATGGTATTAACATAAAAGATAGTTATTAAAATAAAGTAAATAAAAACATTTAGACACACAAACATGAAGTGACTATAAAAAGCGTGTGTAATGAAAATGAGTGAAGGTGAATGTATGCTAACTACAGGACCAGCAGAGACTATGTCCTACTGCTAGATGCAGCCTGAATATAAATGAAGCTCTTAATTTTTTTTAAGTATATCACAAGAAAAATCCATGTTCATTTAATAAAAAAAATTGTACAATATGCATTTTCATGACACAACATCAATAAAATGGTTAATCACTTCCTAACTAATTCAACCTGCTGCAGCAGCACAAGGATACAGTCCCTTCCTGGAAACAGGATTTTGTGGCAAACCATTTCGCCCATAATGCACCCCACAGACCATAAATCCACTATGTTTGTAGCACAAAAAGAAGGAAAAGCAAAGCAAACAGTCATTTAAAATTAAAAGAAGCATAACATGACTGCATTCTATAAACTGCAGAGACAGCACAGGAAGAAGAGCAACTCTTTATATTAATCAATGAAAACACTTTAAAATACCATATATAAGGATTAGCTTTTAACTGTCTCAAATGCAAGGCAGAAAAACATCCTTTTGTTTAACACAGTGCTAGAGCAAGAGCTAGAGCAGAGAGAAAGAGAGAGGGATACACAGGAATCAAGCAGAGTAAAGCCCTTCTCCAAACTCTGAGGCTTGCAAAGCTACCTCTGCCAATAGACTAGATTGGAGCATCAACGGTGTTTCAGGGAAGTAATTCCATTGTACTTGTAGGAATAATTTTAGAAGTAGCAAAGTAAACCAACCTTTAAAAATATTGTGCATCTAAACATTTAGGAGGAGAATTAATTGGTTATTACACAGGAATTTAAATTTGCCATGAAGTATTTTCTACAAGTCAGATTACCATGCATCTCTCTCTCCCTTTAAATAAAAAGCAAACAGAATCAGTAAAAGATCATTCAGAATTTTAGAGGATCAGTTAATGACAATATTAGTATGCTCCTATAAGATTTTCAATTAAAATTATTTTTTTAAAAATATTTCTCCAGTTATGCTGAAATAACATCTTGTACAAAAGAAAAACTCAAAATCCTTTTTTTTTTTTTTTTTTGGTGGGGGAGTACAAAGTACACATTTTCTACAATACCTTAAAATAAATCACTCAGAAGACATACTCAAAGATGCAAAAGTTTACTTTTCACAGGTATGCCAATTTCTTTTGTGGTTGCTTTCAGAGATGTTATTAACTCTGGATGCACAAGTTTTCTTGAAATCATAATAACGAAATTGTACTATTATAAATACTTTTATGAGAACAGTTGTATAATAAAAATCACTTGTAAAAGCTCTGGAGGAGCTCAACAATATCAAGCAAATAATGTTGCTTCTTACTGAAAATATTCCTTCCCCCTTATTTATAGTTCCTCTAAAATAGGATCTAAATCATATGATATCATAGTTGTACACATTAATAGGTCAAAATTAAGGGCCTGGTTCATTTAAAAAATGTTTGACAACATTTTATGACTAGTGGTGTTTTTTCTTTAAAAATTCTTTTCAAATACTTAAAAAAATACACATTCTTTGGCTTAGAGACCCAAAGATCAGCAGCCAAGTTTTGCATTTGACTTTTAAAATAAAATTCCTTCTGTTGGCTTTTTCACCTGCAAAACAATCTACTGCTATCAAAAACCAAAACATACCCAACTCTGTCATAATTAGTTTGTGTCCAACATGATAAAAATGACACCCATAATTGCATGGAGAAGTCTGGGAAGAGCAATAGCATGAGTCAATGACCTATCTTCATGCCTCAGAAGACAAATTACTTCAGAGGTGACAAAAAAAAGTAGAAACCACTCTTCTGATCATCCTACAAAACCAAATTTACGATGTTTGGGGGTGTTTTGGATTGCTGCTTTCATTAATCAAACAAAGCCTGCCTACTTATAGGTCTCTGACTTTTTTGTTAAGCTAGACTAACTGTACACTGAGGACTGCTCCTGTGTATAAATCTATAAAAGACTGAGTACAATATCATTACAGACTTGAAAAATCTTTTTAAAAACCTATTGCTTGTCAGAGTGTATTTTTTTATTAAAAACCTTGTTTGGAGAGAAGTTACTATTTTCTATAATACTAAGAGAAAAAATAGCACGGGCAAAGGAAGTTAAACCAGTGCGCATACTAGGAAAGTTAAAAGTATTTGCTTCAGATGGTTTAGGGGTTTCCTTGCTTTTCAGAGCTTCCTTCCTGATAATGATGCACGTAACTGCGCATAAATCAAAGTATGTTAAGGTATGTGTGCACGAGCATTTTTGGTGTCCTTCAGTTCAGAATTTCTTGAGTTTGCAAGACCTGGTTTCTTAATGTAATACACTTAAATGTGCTTTATCTTCTTCAGTATCAAAACCTATGAAGAAGTTAACTCTATATATGGTTTGTCTGGGATCTTTGCTAGTTTTAAAACAAGTAAAATTTCCTATGTGTATCATACAGTATGAAAAGAACAGTGCTCTCAGTCATCAAAACATACATTGCAATCCTCCCACAGAAGTTCAGCAAGGCACTGAATGGCATAAAGCTACCAGATGACCCTGTTCAACTAAACTGAATGTTAACATTAACCACTAGTTAGCTGTGAATTTTCAATATTTAACTCTAAAATAAGTTAGCTTGTAATTTAACTATGAGTTTTAAAGGGATAAAATAGGCATCGATGTTAAAAGGTGAGAACTCTGGACAGCCTGTGGTTCTTACTGTAAGTACATCCTTGATATCTGCCTCCCTATCAGGGTAGCTCCACAGTGAGGAAACTGATCAGGCAGTGACTTAGAAGAGTAACAATTTATGCAGTAGCTTTTCAATGACAACAGTCCATATGGAAATGCAGACTGACTTCTGACTCAGCCCACAGATTTACATCCTCCAGAAGTGTCACTCTCAACTCAAGAACCGTGTATTTGGCTTTGTGAAGACAAGATAGTTTTTCATATGAAAGTAACTTTTTATTGATATTCTGCTTCACAAAACAATATATGCTTGCTTAAGGAACAGGACTGTCACTAGCATGACAAGGTGCTCTAGAACACAATCTATTTAACTTCAATTGTAACCTAATTAACATTTTTGTGGAAAGAATGTTTCACACTTTTGCAAGTCAAAATTACTTACAGAGATAAATGTAAAATAGGCAAGCTAAATCATAAAGCTTGTGACTCCCATTGTACCAATTCCTTCTATAAGACAGCTGCATGACTCAGATTACAGTTTTAGGTTCTTTTATGTAGTCTCTCTAAACTGGCCAATATAAAGTCTGGAGAAAAAACAAAGAAACTTAAATATATGCTTTCTACAAAACTTTAGCGGTTAAAAAAAAACAAAACAAAACAAAAAACCATTAGGCTTGGTCCACTCAACTTCTGACTTCTAAATTATGGGAAAAATAGCCAGCCCTGAAGGCCATTTGAAGAATGTATACCCTCTCATGCAAACTGACTATCCAAACAGATATAAAAACCACAGCCTTGCAAAAAAGGCCTATTCTTATTCCTTTGATATGGCTTTTTTCCTTGTCAACACTGATAGAAGTTACTATTCTTGGCTTTTATAAATGATACTATTCTTGGCTTTTATAAATGATAACAAAATCATCTCTCTATGCACATAGCAGCTATCGGTTACACACAACCTTAAGTTACTTTGCCATAATGGTATGCAGTTGCCAGGCAAGTTTGCAGACTATATTAAGAATCCTGAAAAGGAGAGCAAGCCCCAGTTGTGTCAGTAACCTGAGGAGCCATGCCTCATACCAGCAGGAGACAGCTAACAAAGCTTCAAGCATCATGGCATCTCATGGGCCCTTCTGGAAGACAGATCAGTAGAGGGTTTAAAATACCTTGAGCAAATGGTGGCCTCTGTGAAGTGTGCCTGCCTGAGGTGGAAACACCAAGTGAGCAGAACTGACCACAGGGACAGCAGATCAATGAAATGGCAGCAGAATTGGGGCCACTACAACAGAATTTCAGGAATGACACATTACTTTTGTTTCCTAAAGGATACTAGATGTTTCATTCAGGAGCTGCAATGTACTTTATCATGTTTTTCCCTCAAATACTGTATCCTTTCCTTATATGCTTATAGAAGATATTGAGAGAAGGGCCACAGAGTGAGTATAAAGACAAGGGATGTACGCAAGCAGAGGGACAAAATAAGGCAATTTCCTTAGAATTCATCCAAGGACCATCAAGCCCAAAGAATCTGTGATACTTCATGAAGGTACTATCTGCATTCTTATCTCAAGATCTTTTTTCAGCAAGGACTTAGTGCGACAGGACTGAAGTAGGCTAGTTGCCACAGCAGGCAGTTTTAACTTGTCTGTTCCTCAGCAGCCTTTAAGTTACCTATGTCCTGAAAGGCTACACTGAATATAGTTATTTAAACATTAAATTTAGGACACACATTTACTGATGAATTACAATTTACATCCTCATCAAGAATAAAGTCAGGTCAAGGTATATCAAGGTACATACCACAAATTAAGAAAATATATTTCCAGTTCTTCCTGGATGAAACTTGATCTACTAGGCAAGTTATTTGCATTTTTAAACAAACAAGGCCCTCAATTTCTTCTCCTATTAAATGCAAACATTTCTAATGGGTTGAGCTGAATAAACAAATTGGTGTATCCAGAATCTGCATTTTGGTCACAAGGCTAATTTATAAAATTTTTACAGCTTGAAAAAAACATTAACATGTAAAATGTGGTGTGCCAAACAAAAGATAAAGCTATGCCAAAGAAAGACTATAGTTGCTGACCGTTTTCTTTGTATCCCATCCCTAGGATGACCTCTGGTGCTCTGTAGTAACGAGTCACTACATAAGGCGTCATCATAAAACTAGTTCCTGCAGTTCTGGCCAGTCCAAAGTCAAGAATCTTCAAAGTGCAGTCTGACTTTACTACTATATTACTGGGCTTTAAATCCTTTAAAAAGAAACATCATATATGACTGCTAAGACAAGCACAAAGTACTCTGTGGTTCACATTTTTAAAAGATAATACTGCTAACATTAAACCCCACATATACAACTAGGATATTGCTTAACTGCAGTTACTTTTCCCCTTGCATTAATTCATATGCATTCAGCAGACTACAGATTAACTCCCTTAATGTGCCTGTAGATTTATATATCATTAAAGAAGGAAAATACAACTAGCATTACAAGATAGGTTAGCAATGTCTGAAATAAACTGAAGTTAGTAAGAAATGTTAGCTCTGAGGAAAGGTCTAGAAACTGGTCACTGTAACAACAGTTATTACTATGATGCAGAACACAAGTAACATGACAATTGCTGAAGTAATTTGATGAAATAATCATCTTAATACAAAAATTATTAAAATTATAACATGAATGTAAAAAGCAAAAGGTTCCTTTGCTAGCTGAAGCTGCATTACCTCTTTTGAACCAATGCAGATGTTTCTCCGAACAGGAAGGAAATCCTCATCCTCGCATAGATTTAGTTTCCTATGTAGGACTTGGTTTTATACTTATTTTGGTGACCAAACCCAAAAGGCACCATTGAAAAACTGCCAGAAATTAACACAACCATTAAATTGGAGGAGGAAATCCCCAGATACCGTTTCAGATTATGTTAGAAGTTTGGCAACTGTATTCTCTTCATCCGAACCCTAAAACCACAGTGACAACAGTGGCTTTACATCTACTTATACAAACACTACACAGGCATACTTGGTCATTATCTCAGGAGGACCTTACACACAACCAAATATTACAGAGTAATTTCAGAATAACTTTGCCATCAAAAAGTCATTCATAGCATACACACTGACATAGATAAGCCCTGGATCCTTTCTGCCTATGCTCTACTAAGATTAATGAGAGAAAAACCTGAGATGCAGCACAGAACTCTAGCATTTGGGCTGCAGGCATGTGGTAAGTAGCCCTATCTTTCACTGTTTCATAAAGACTTAAAAGCGGCTATCTGCAAGATATACTAGTTTTAATTTGTACTTGTATGGCTTTAAGCAAACTCCTCAGAAAGCTAAGAAAACTGCATTAGACAGGAAACCACAAAAGACTTTAAGAACAATAGAATTTTAATGGGTAATTAAAAGTCTTGCATACTTACATATTCATGCATTCACGTCACATACACAAACGCTCTGCAGACAACTTTGACTTAAAAGATTTTAAACACTATGAACGAATTCAAGTACTATAAGGAATTCCAGCTATTTAATATGCATGTTTCAGATTTTGCTACAATCCTATCAGCTTTAGTTTTGCACACTTTTATTATGTGGAGGCTGAGTCCCGGGTGCATGCCTATTATATTGATCATCCTCAAAGCTGCAGGAATAACACTGGAAATGCTAAAAGATCTTCACTTTGGAAAAATCACTACGAGGACAAAATGCAAAAGCTTACAGAGTACTGTCCATCTTTAATTTCTGAACATCATGTAGCTGTCATGAAGCCTAGGAACATGATGTAATTTGCAATACAGAACTGTCTGTCAAAAATATGAAGGCGAGAGTTGACTTACACTGCATCCAAATTCATGCCCGGACCAAAACCTCTTATGCTTTAAATAAACACAGTCTCAAAAGCTCCTGTAAGAGTGATCAGGTTAATTAGGCTGCATAAATATATCCAGAACCTATAGCAGAAGGTATCCTGCCTAACCTTAAAAATGTAAAATGTCAGTGCCTAAAAATCTAAAGAAAGATTTGTGTGAAGGGCTTCCATAATTAGGCACCTTCGTTAAGTGCTCAAAATCAGGCCGAATGCAGTGTTTCAGTCCATGCAAGACTAATGAGACACTGTGTCCTTCAGCAAGCCAGTGAAGCGCAACTCTGCAATGCTGATCATCCATCCTTTTCAGACCGCAAAATATAAATGAATGTGTACTTCTACACTTGCTGGAAACTCTGTCTCTGCAAAATATTTTGAGCACAGTAATGTTAATTTGCCATCATATGTTAAAGCAGGTGTAAAACTACAGTCAAATCTTCACCAAAATCAAATCCTTATCCACTGATGTGGCAGCTAAGTTTGCCCCTACAACTTTGAGGTGAAATTGTCTAAAACTCTTTGTGTTTGGTATCTGCCTTGTTTGGTGCCGCCAGTCTGCTATAAAAAAAAAAAACACTTATTTCTAGGCAGGCAGCATCCAGTGCTGCAGGCACATACACAGATTGTTGTAATTTCACTCATTCAGCAAGCTTTCAAAAAGTTGCTGAGATGTCGAGATTATCGCAGCTGTGTTAAAAGCAGAAAAACCCAGTTAAAAACCATGTAAAACTACCAACACCAAAAAAAGCTTAAAGCTTTAGAGGACACTAAAGTAGTACACTAGATTCACAGACAGAATGCTCCACGGGCAGCCACACTAAGGTAGACTATGTTTAAGGAGTATCTAGTTTCAATAAACTAACAAGCTTTAGATATTAAGGACAGTAGTGCTGAAAGCCCAGCAGAGTGGTATAAAGAGTTACTACTGCAGCTACTATATGATCTCTTTCCAAGCATGCCCTCTTTTGTCTTCTGAGGTTTTGCTTGACTTGTTCCACAGGGAAACAGGATTTTGATACTTTACACCTTGAAGTATAAAGGCATAACAAACACAGCAGGTAAGCAATGCAAACATTTTGCTTGAACATACCTAATCTTTTAGCAAAGTCCGAGAAGAAGCTGCAGGCTGAAAATGTACCGTGAAGACATGTAAGTGAAATGTATCTGCCCATGTTCTTCAAAAGCATTCATGCGTATATATGTTACTATTTACACAGCAATTGTACCTATAGTCTCTTTGGAATAGCTTATCCCTGTACCAGTATGTCACATTTCAAAGACTTCACCCATCTCTACAGAAGCAGGAATTTTATTCTCAAAGCTGTTTTTATTCCTGCCCAACTACTTGAGTAGGTAGTTCTTTTTTGTAAATGTATGAATGTTTATATTTACAAATGACTTCTACAGGCTCGAGGGTCTGATGCCTGCTTTATAGGAGCACAAACTGTCCCTGAAGCAGTTTTAGAAGCTCCCTCCTGCCTGCACCAAGATGCACAGAAAGAGACACTCCTACATTACCTACTCGAGCATGTCCATAAAACATGCAGTTTCCAAAAAACAAAGATGACCTAGGAGAACCTGCAGCATTAATCTTGCACAGCCAGTTACTGAAGAGACCATAAAATGTCAAGCTGCATACAAACCCATTACTTCAATCCCATGGGCGCATGCATCAGGACACAAAAACCTACATAACCTCAGTAATATACAATACCACAACTGTGGCAAGTGAAGTAACCTAGTCCTGCCTACGATTCCCAGAATAACACAAGAAGCCCACTGACCTGTCTCAATGTTCGCCAAGAAGCACAGGGTGCAATGCCTGGTTGCAGGTTATGCTTCTGCCTACCTTTCCTTGTCTATCTTTCAAACACAGCAGTTAAGGGCAAACTGCAAGCAAGAAGGAAGCCATCATGCTCCCTCCCAGAACTCCTCACTGGAATGAGGCAGCCAATGCATACTAAAGCTACCTGGAAAAAGGAAGCAGTGTTTGCCCATTCTAACTGCATTCTCTATTCAAACAGTTGTCCCTGTTCCCTTGAGGGAAAACCAGAAAACTGGAAGGTCGTACTGCCAGACACAGCTTGCAAGCCGTACAACACGTCAGTCACAATGAGGTGGACTACTGAACTGGACAAGCACCCTAACACAGCAGCTCCTGTACCAGTGCTCAGAATTGCCATTCGTGATTTGCTTTACCGTGTACTTCACCCATGAGGAAGACTATGTAGCACTGTCTGAAAGCATCACATATCTAATATGCTTAATTACACCTTCTGCATAATTTCAGAAATTAAAAATTTCAAATCTCTTAGTCTAAAAGATTATAATGAAAAATGTAGCACTGCAGAAATAGAAGCTTACAATTTCCCAAAATAGCAGAGATCATATCTGAAAAGCTATAACTAGACCATCTCAAGCATACTTTACAGTACATATGAATATATATATGAAATGTTCAACTTGAACAGGCCAGCTTAAATTCAGGATGTCTTGACTGGATTGCAACACACACATGCCATTTAAAAAGCAGTAGTCAGTTTTGCCTGAGGACAGTCTGAGTGAATGTTTTGTGACACACAGGTATATGAAAGTTCCACTTACAGGTCTTAATCACCATCTCTTTATCTGGAGACTTCAGATATTTATTCATTACTCTGCTAGTAAAATACAATGGGCAGTTCTTTCAGAAGATGGGATTTCAGGTTTGGTTACCAAAACAGTAAAGGCAGAGACACATTCAGATATTCTTTCCTGCTATGACTACTAAAATAAAGTATGATACAGAATTGGAGGAGGTAATGTAACTCGCTTCAAAAATCGTTATTTGTTCTGTGCAGATTATTATCAAATCAAACATTGAAAAAGTTCATTCCAGAATTACAGTGGAAATGTGATGATTTCCTTTCAGCCCTTTCTGATACGTTTTATTTTTTTCTGTCTTTAAGTACTCAAGGCCAAACCAGGTGAAATGGAAATGATCCTCACTTAAGTTCACTTACCCTATGTATAATTCCAGCTGAATGAAGATGTTTGATACCACACAGCATTTGGTAAAGAAGATAGGACATTCGTTCATGGTCAAGCTCCATCTGAATCACTTGGCAAAGATTTGCATCCATGAGCTCCATCACTATGTAGCTTACGAAAAAAAAAAAGACAAAAAAAAGAATAATAATCAAGTAATACTGTCATTTTATTGTACTCTTTCCCTCATTCCTCTTTCTGTGTATTTTTAAAATTAAATCCCAGCTTTATTTCAAATCAGACTTACACATCTTGAAATTCTTCCAGGGATTTTTGTGGTGTGAACACATTCAGTAGGCCGATTATCTGTAGGAAGAGGGAGAGGAAGTATAACTGCACCACAGCAATAGCAAAGCTGCAAAGTCAACGTTTCAAAACTGATACCCGTTATTCTGATGAGATCCTCCTGGTACACATTGAAGCTCAAGGTGCTCAGTGGCTCAACAAGGCCTAATATGCTGTGATACTAATATTGTAGAAGGAGTACTTTTTCTCCACAAATCACATAATCAAGAAACACTCTGTGCATTAACAAGATGACACTAAAAGTCTGAAACCTGAGGAAGTTAGTCAGTTTTCCGCTGCCTCCTACTTGCAGTTTGAAGAGACCTGGTAACATTTTTATTGCTTATGAGGAAAAATAAAATTAAAAACTGACAGACTATGTAAGAGATACAATTTTGCCATTGACACAGAAAATACACAAAATTTTCCTGAATAGCTAAGAGACAGAGTAAGTCGTCTATCACTGTTTCCTTCCCTAGCAGCCATTTTATCTTACGGAAGGGGAATTAATAGGGAAGGCGAGGAAGACTGCACACAGCCAACTCTGACAATACCAGCCTTCTGGAGTTCAACTCTTGATAAATTTACCATTTATTATTCTCTCCCCTTGTGATGTAGACCAAATATTTCTATAGCTTGCTCTACTCGACAGCTTTGCAAGCATCAGACAGTTCCTATTCTCACAACACAAGATTCCCAACTCATTCATGCATAAAGAAAAAACCTGATACAATAGAATTATTACAGCCTTTTTTCTCCTATTTGTCTAGCAGCAGCCACAGAAATAAAATACTTACCACTCATGGTATTCTTATTTGCCAGCTGCTTGTAAAATGTAGCAATGTAACACTGACTCCCTTCCTGAGTTTGAAGGGGGTATTTAAAGATTGGGCAGGTATTAAAACTAGTCAGTAATAGCTCTCCTGAAAGATCCTTCTGTACTTCTCATGGAGATACCACTACGCAATTAAAATATCTATAATCTACAGAGGATGTCATCCTCTGAGGGCACTTTTAAGACTTCAAAGAACAACCTTCTAGTTAATTCTTTAACATTTAAAGCAGGACACTGCACTCACATTTTTGTGATTAACGCACTTCATAAGAACAAGCTCTCTGTAGGCTCTTTTAGCATGGGTTTGGTTCTGAAACGGTCGGCTTAACTTCTTGATTGCAACATTTCGTTCAAGGATAGCATCGTAAGCTGCACTGCAATTAAAAATAACATTATTACATCTCAGTATCAAGATCCTTTAAGCCATGCCAATTGCCACCTGATATCATGCCCACAGTTAGACCAAATTTCCACTGATACTCACCTTTAAGTAGTATAATAGTGAAGTATGTAACAACTGAGTGATTCAAAATTTAGAAAGGTTTCACAGATTTCAAGTATTAACACACGACGATCTCCGCAAAATAATGCAGGATCTCTGCTTCCTAAAATACTTCACTAAAGATATTGATATTTTGCCACTTATTGGCACTCAAGAACAGACCACCTAAAAATACCCAAAACACTTCAAGTATAAAAAGCACATCAAGTTCAGGTAAAATCTTCATACTAAAAGGAAGGGAGGAGAGAGGAAAAGTAGGTTAAATAAAGGTCTCATGCTTTCACTTACACAGTTGCTTAATTTCCTTATGACAATGAGAGCATCAAGGTCAAGATAAAGCAAACAGAAAAAGTTAAACAAGCTTTAGTATCTTGATGTCACTGGCTTTTACTTGGTAAAAAAAAAAAAAAAAAGAGTAACACTTTGTTTGCAGACTAATGCCAAGATTGTCACACGATTCAGTGACAGGCTGTTACTGAGGACAACTCCAAAATGTATCACATTCCCATGACAGGAAGGCATGGATTTTGTTTCCTGTAAGAAGTAATACAACAGCTGACTACCATGCAGACTCACGCATATTTATCAGTTACTAAGAAAGTTTCAGCAGGATAAACACTGTTTTCTTGTTTCTTATCAAGAATCGAATGCAAACCTTACAAAAAACACCTGCCAGTAAACGATCAGCACCTACTGAATCCAAGTCACTCTTTCAAAAACAAACAAAAAAAATCATGTTGTCTACATGGCATGTAGGCTTGAAATTTTATTTATTTTTTTTACATATCATTAAATACTCTAGTACTTCCTAAAGAAAGAAAAAAATGAAAACAACACATACTGGTAACTTTCACTGGTTTAGATTTTCCACTATCTGGAATTTCCCCCACTTACGCCCAAGATAAGGATTACCTTATGAAAGACAGACAGGAAAGACTGCCAACATTGGACTCCTGTATCAGTATTTAAACTTCCCCATCTCCAGTACCTAATGGCACTGCTTTGAAACTGTTTCGGTATTAAATATGGTTGAGCCTTTAGGCCACCTACACAATATTCCTCCAAATCAATTTAGATCAGGTTTTGAGGCAGAAAAAACAAAACCACTACCACCACCACCAACAAAAAAAAAACAAACACAACAAAAACCCAACCCAGATCACAAGAATTACACTCTATCTGCTCCAGACATGGACAAGATTTAACCACATAAGCAGTCCAGTCCTTCCCAGCATAATCAGAGGAGTCTAACTAAAAGGGCTTCAACTACTACTAGCAGCAGTTACAAAATAATACAAGAATAATTAAATGGTCAGTTTTTGGATCTCAGCTCTAGAAGGGACAGAAAATATGGAAAACAGGCAGTAACGCGTGACTGGGAATCAGAAGGACATTAACATCTAAAGCTTTTGCAGGTATTCCTATAAACAAACTCTAGTCAAACAACTGTCTATGTCCTCATTATATTAACACATATGTAAATAAAATTCAGGTAAGTTGCTTTGCTGATGCTACTATTTACAGACCAAATAATCTTTATGCCAAAGGTTACCATTTCAAAACCAGCCCTTTTCTAGGGTACCCACCTTCAAGTTTTCATTTGGACTAAGTACACTGTTTTATTATTAACCCAGCTGAAACACAAATACGAATTAAAACCCCACCTATATCACATATGGTCTAAATGCTGATAAAGACAAGATCAAGGTAGTAAAGAGGTTATAGGGAGAAGTAAGATTAAAAGGATTCCACTTTTCACTCCCTTTCTCTTCCTCAATGTTTCTTTTGTATTTTTATGCCTCTGGTTAGCATCTTAAGAGTTACAATAAATTGGAAAATCTGCAAGTTCCTGTTCTATCTACATCCTTCTCTTGAACATCCAAAAAACTCAGAAGCTGCTTAAACAAACATTTACCTTTGGGACAACATCACCACACAGGAAACAGCACCTACAAGCAGCTATTGGTCTCCAATCTTATATCAATCAGACACTCTTCAGTATACAACAGAACTCTTATTCAAAGAATTACGTTGTGAAATCGTATTTTCTTAAACTTGCTTCACATATTTAACATATTACAATAACAGTCAGTATCACAAGTGCTTACTAATCAGTATGATTATGAAACTAAGTGAAACTGCTCCCTAACAAACTATTTCCAGAAGTAAAAGGATTTACAAGCAGCAAATGTTACATAGAGTATTTCTGGCTTTTATTTCACTGTAAACTGTGTGTTTTGGGATTAGGATTAGTTTCTTAATCCATTTTTTTATTTTGCCCCATTAATTTGTGCAGAGCTGCCTGAATGTGCACAGAAGGGTATCAGGAAAGGACATAGGTCAAAAAGCAACACCAACAGCCAAACCAGAAGGAAAAACCAGGAACAAACCAGCCAAAACCAGGAACAAACCAGAAAAACCAGCCAAACCAGGAGGAAAAACAGCCAACACTTACTACTGCCATTTTGCACATAAAAGTTGGTTTTCCACACTCCTACTCAGTAACATATAACAGTAAAAGGACTCAGAAAATTCTGCTACAGGAACTTACAAGCACATTTATATTTTAGAGAAACCTTACCATACTATGCCTTGTGCTCCTGATCCTATTGGTTTTAAATTCTGATACCGTTTCAATACAGTGAAAGTAGAATCTCCAATTTCAACACTGTAGAAATTGTTGTCACGCTTGCTTCTGCTCATGACGGCAACTCAGCTAGATCACTTCATCCAAATTTTGCTTCTGGCCTGTAAATAAATAACATTTGAAAAACTAAGATTTTACAACTCTATAAAATCTGACAAAAGGCAAAGTTCTTTATAATGAACAGAAGACACTTTCTCAAGTAAGTTCCATATGCAAATGTAGGTTCTTTTTAATGTCTGTAGGAATGTGGTGGCATGTGTCTGAAGTGTTTTATTTTTAGGAATGATCCTAAGATACTATCCTAAAAGGGCAAACATAATAGAATAAGAAAAATAAATGGATGGCATCAAAAATCTTATATGACAACAACAGACAATTAAATGACACCAAGCTGTGTGGTTCGGTTGATACACTGGAGGGAAGGAATGCCATCCAGAGGGACCTTGACACGCTTGTGAGGTGGGTTGATGCCAGCCTCATGAAGTTTAACCACGCCAAGTGCAAGGTCCTGCACGTGAGTCGGAGCAATCCCAGGCACAGCTACAGGTTCGGCAGAGAAGAGATTCAGAGCAGCCCTGCAGAGAAGGACTTGGGGGTGCTGGTTGATGAGAAAATGAACATGGGCCGGCTTCAGTGTGCACTTGCAGCCCAGAAAGCCAACCGTATCCTGGGCTGCATCAAAAGGAGCGTGACCAGCAGGTCCAAGGAGGTGATCCTGCCCCTCTACTCTGCTCTTGTGAAACCTCACTTGGAGTATTGTGTGCAGTTCTGGTGTCCTCAATATAAAAAGGACATGGAACTGTTGGAACAAGTCCAGAGGAGGGCCACGAGGATGATCAGGGGACTGGAGCACCTCCCGTATGAAGATAGGCTGAGGAAGTTGGGGCTGTTCAGCCTGGAGAAGAGAAGGCTGCGTGGAGACCTCATAGCAGCCTTCCAGTATCTGAAGGGGGGCTATAGGGATGCTGGGGAGGGACTCTTCATTAGGGACTGCAGTGACAGGACAAGGGGTAACAGGTTAAAATTTAAACAGGGGAAGTCTAGATTGGATATAAGGAGGAAGTTCTTTCCACTTAGGGTGGTGAGGCACTGGAATGGATTGCCCAGGGAGGTTGTGACTGCCCCATCCCTGGCAGTGTTCAAGGCCCCTAACTACTCTATGATTCTAAATGGCAGGAAGTTACAGGTCATCCAGAGAACTCCGAGAGTTCTGCCATCCCTTCACATACACACATGCAGTAAGGGAGCAGGGTGTGGACCAGACACTCCCCAGAACTCCCTTCCAACAAAAGGGACAAAACATTAACAGCACTTCCAGACACTGCAATCATCAAAAAAAAGGCAGGCAACACCTCAATGCACATGTCCACAGGAGAAAACAAAAACCTGCATGGTGGCTTTTACTGTATCATTTCCTGTTTCTTTGATGATAACTGTGCACTGACAATCTTCTCTTTACATGGGTTTTGGGTGTAGCTGCAACAGATGTCTATTAGTACAAATTCCTGTTTACTATAACACTGTGACTCTCAACACTTTCTTCACAGATGAAATCACACAAAAATTTGGAATAAAGATGCTCAACAAACGCAAATGACAAAAAAAAAAAAACAACTGAATTAGAAAAGGCACAATTTGTTATGGAAGGTGTGCCATCAGCCAAACAAATTTTTGAAAATCAGGAAACAAAGAAGGCAGACAACGTTTCACACAATCCTACATCTGTTCATTGTCAGCTAAGAAAACAAACTATTGAGTTTACCCACTGAAACTGTATTAAGATGTGACATTGAACAATGCCAGATTAAACGGAACAGCTTAGTAGGTAGAGCTGTTTGGTATTAGCATCAAGATAATGAGAATTTTATATTCCACTTTGGATAAATCCTCAGAAACAAATACAGGAAAGACAGCTTCCCCCCATCCAAAGTTTGCAGGTGAATATTGATACCTTCCCATTTAAAGGTCAGTATTTCGAGTAGCCAAATCTAAGCATTTTATTGAACTTTTTAACTTTTTTCAATTTGGTGAACTTCATAAACAGAGCAAATATAGTTTAAGAAAAGGATCTTGAGAGACAGTATTCTCTTAGAAACAGATTTCACATGTAGACCACACATGGTCTTTTTACCAAGCAAATTTTATCGCCTTAAAGCTTTGTCATTTGCTGCACCATATTACAAAATGTGCTTGCTATTATGTACTGGAAAACCTATATTTGCTAACTATTTTATAACTCAAACCAGTATCTTGGCATATTCCAGCATATGTGTGTAATCTTTCTATAATAAAGATTTCACTCCTTTCTGAAGCTATGAGCTTTGCAGTCACCTAGGTACTGCCTATAGTCTACAATCTCTGCTCCAAAGACAAATTAAAAAAAGCCCCAAACCAACACATCTGTACACTAAGTCTAATCATCATAATTGAAAAGCCCTACCTCTACTATTACAGTAGATATGCTGATCCTAAAGAAAAAAAAAAAAAAACAACAAGTCTGTGACACGGTTTAGTATACAAATTATTTCTTTCACTTTAACCAGTGACTGACTGTATCATAGAGAGAAGATACACTCTGAAGGTGTCTCCAGCCGGGGATGCTGCGGAATCTGCCCACTGGTCAGAGAGAAAGCACAAAGGGTAGTTTCGCCTATTCATGAGGACTGGTTATTATCTGGCTAATAGACAGCTCTGATCAGGACTACAACACGCATGATGTACCAGCCCATCATTCTCACTCATTCTAGACTGAGTCTCCCCCTCTTCATCAATCTTCGGTTTTGCCACTTCCACTCCCTGCTGTGCATGAGGAACAGAAAGCTCACCTCTCCCAAAGAGCTGTGACCTCACCTGCCCTTCAATACCCATGGAGAAAAGCAGACCTACCTAAGGAAGATATGTCTAATTAGGCTTCGTCAAGCCCCACAGTATTTGGTCCCCAAGCTTGAAATCATTTAGAGGCAAAGTTTTTCATTGCACTGCCTAAATAGAGAAAGGAAGCATCTACAATATCTACTTCGACAATCAAAAAATACTTACATTCAAAAATTCAAATATTTTAAATCTACTTAAGTAGCTATGAAATATATATATATATATATATATATATATATATATATATATAAACTATTCCAACACAAATTCCTAAACTTAATATTGTAGATACACTGTACCACAATTCAGGGCATTTTAAGAGTCACACTTAGAAAATAAAATAAAAAAAACAACCCACAACATGAATCTGCTAGACTTTCCAGTCTAGAACTGGTTGCCCAGAGAAGCTGTGGCTACCCCATCCCTGGAAGTGTTCAAAGCCGGGTTGGACGGGGCTTGGAGCAAGCTGGTATAGTGGAGGTGTCTCTGCCCATGGCAGGGGAGCTGGAACTGGATGGTCTTTAAGGTCCCTTCCAACCCAAACAATTCTGTGATTCTATCTTAATTCAACACAAGTTACAAACTTTTGCTGTCAATGGTTTAATTATTATGGGTTACTTAAAAAAAGAATGAGCTAAATGATTGAGGGACATGATTCAGGAACAGTCAGATGTAATTAAATTTGCTTCTACCCTGCTGTAAAATTCACCAACTGATGTCAGTCATGACACTTAGAACCTAAAGCTAAAACCAAACAGCCCCCCAAAACAAACAAACCCAAACAAAACCTCTGATTAGCAAATAAATAAAGAAAACGGAAAAAAACAATAGCATTCTATAAAAGAATTATCAGATGATGGTCTGAAAGACTTTGCTTACTACTGGACCTTTTAAAATGTTGTTAAAGTATGCTATGCATTGCTTGAGTAACACTGAAGAGCCTACAGGGCACTACATCTTTCTGCTGACAGTTAAAAATCTCAACCTTCTAGTTGCCAGTTTATCTATTTACAAAATAAATCACAAGAAACTTTCAGTGAATGCTTCCCCTTAGTCGTTAAATTTCTTAAGTAATTATTCCTTTTAACAGATGTTCTTATAAAGCTGTGGGTATTTTGTAAGAGAACTGATCTTACCTGGACCATGCCTCAAACATCCCACTGCTACCCTGACCCATACATCACTAGCCTTGCAGGACTGCGAAGACTGAAAGCTTCTCAGACCACTACTTGGCAATATTTCCAAGTCTTAGGAAATAAATAAAGAGCAAGACTGGGGAGATGGTTTTTGCAGTGCAAAGATTGCTTCTGCAGGAACAGTTTACAGGAGGTAGTAAGTAAAAACAAACAGCCCTGCTCTGACACACTCCAAAACCAAACTACTTCTGTACTTTCAGTAAGGCACTATTTCAGGGAAGGGACTTCTTTCTGAAAAAGGAAGTTTAAAGAACTCCTGAGAAACTTCAAGTCAAGGTGTAATGCGCAAGTAAAACACAGGAGGAAAACTCAGATACAACTGGGCATTTTTGCACTTTAATATACATTTCCACACAGCAGCTCTAGAACACCACTCCAAATTTAAGGTTTTATATTTACGTACCAAACACTTTCCCCTTGCCTCCAACCCTCCTGCATTTCATCTGGCCATTACAGATTCCTCAGCCTGACATCCATCTCCTCTACACCCCTTGCTTCAAAGTCTCTTACAGCTTCTACACAGTTTTTTCCATCAACCATGGAAAGTGTAAACCTCTCATTTTATAAGCAAGTTTACTTTCACTCAATTCTTTGCTCCCACTCAGCTCAGAATCTATTGCGCTCCCTGTCTCTTCACCTCTCACAAAAATATACTCAGAAGCGCCTGGGACTGCCCAGTTCTGTAAATACAGCTCCCAGAACAAAGTCAAAGACTTCATTATTTCCTTATCTGCTAATTTACTGGTGACTAGTCTTAAGAAGTCTAGCTTCAAAGATCCACAACACCAGAAGTCTCAGTCTTTAAATATTAAACTAAGTCTAAATTCAGAAACTGTCAAGACTTTCAAGGTTCTTACACAATCCATGCCTGCAATGTCTTTCATTAAAACATGATTAAGCTGTATCAGATAAACTCACCTGCCCGAAATTTGACATTTAGCTCCAATTTCTAGCAATTCTGCAGAAGCACATATGGGAAGAAAGGCAGGATGCAGATTCCATATTTCTATTATTAATGAGGAAACTAATAA